TCCCGTATGAAAAAATGAGGTTGACCTTGAAATAACCTTGAAAATGAGGTTCAAGGTCAAATCAGAGGTCACCGTTGGGTTCCTCGTTGAAAGTTACATAGAGTATGATCTTTGTTGCATGACTAACCATATGCGGTTTTCCGAATTTTCCGGGGTTTCCATACTTTTTCCTAACCCTGTATATTTTCAAGTACAAGGGTAATTCTTGTCTATTTCGATTGACTTGTGACCCTTAGGTTACGGATTTTTTTTTAATTTGGCACAATTGTTGAACACATAAAAGTGAGATTTTTCCCAAATTTTGAAGACGATACATTAATTATATCAAAAGTTATTAGCAATTAAAGAAAAATGATAAAAAATTTTCAAACGGCTATATTTTAAAAACTAATAAAAATATGAAAGTCGGATTTTTGCCAAAATACTTATGTCTTAAAATTTCGAAATAATTACAACAATAAACAATAACAAATTTTTCGAAAGTTATTAACTTTTTGTTTAAAAAATTGCTAATATGTCAAAAAGTATATATTTTTTTGAAAAATTCTTGCTCCTGCGTGTTCCTGAGGATTTTTGCTATCGAAATCAATCATAAAATTCAAGGGCCCGACATATCGGAAGGCGTAGCCCTAATCAAAAGATGATACCTCGGTGTACTCGTATGTCGCAACGGTAGCGGGACGTCTGCGTGGTCTTACGCTGAGGTGTTTTCTTCTAATTAGGGCTACACTTTCCGACATGTCGAGCCCTTGAATTTTATGATTGATTTCGATAGCAAAAATCCTCAGGAACACGCAGGAGCAAGAATTCAAAAAAAAATATACTTTTTGACATATTAGCAATTTTTTAAACAAAAAGTTAATAACTTTCGAAAAATTTGTTATTGTTTATTGTTGTAATTATTTCGAAATTTTAAGACATTATAAGTATTTTGGCAAAAATCCGACTTTGATATTTTTATTAGTTTCTAAAATATAGCCGTTTAACAATTTTTTATCATTTTTCTTTAATTGTTAATAACTTTTGATATAATTAATGTATCGTCTTCAAAATTTGGGAAAATCTCACTTTTATGTGTACAACAATTGTGCCAAATTAAAAAAAAATCCGTAACCTAAGGGTTACAAGTCAATCGAAATAGCCAAGAATTACCCACAATTCGATATGTAGCCTAGTAGTAAGAGTAAAAGTCCAAAGAAAGAGGTATTGTAACAAATATAATATAATTTATATTCTCATACTATTTTATGAAGAATTAAGAAAAATGTAAGCATATCATAAATTGTCAAATCCTAATTAGTTTATTTTTATTTGGGCTCTGTAAATTCATATAGGTCATATGGTAAATTTAGTAAACTTTTAGTACTTTCTTCTTTTTTGGTACATTTCGATTTTGACTTCTATATTTTTTCAGAATATCATTTCTTGCCAAAAACAAAATGGTGGAAACGACATAGCGTGTTTATGCACCATGATCAGGTTTTTGATTGTTTGGCTTTTTACCGTTATTTCCTAACATTTACTGATTCTCACCGATCTCAAAAAAATTAAAATAAAAAAATTGAAAAATAATTAAAATAAACAAAAAATACAAAAAAATTTGATAAAAAATAAAAAACAAAAAATAAATCTCCTATTCGTTTATCTCCCCGTGGTCAAAATTTCCTCAAAAATGGTTTTTAAAGTTCAGATATTAAGTACTTCGATTAGATACTTTTTTTTTAAAAGATCTTCACAGTTCAAAGGTGTAAAACTGATTTGATAAAAAAAATACAATATTTTTTAGGCATTTTTTGAAAAAACGCCGCCATAATACGTGCATAAATATATAAAAATTTTGTTCTACTTACCGCGATGATCCTGTTAGTAAAACATAAACTGATTTACTCAAAACTACACTGGTATCACAAAATTATTTAATTTTTTTTTATTTTGTTTAACTTCGTTCCATTTATGCTCCATCAGTACTATTCAGCGACGGAGGCTTGCAATATGTTGGAGAATAAAGCACATAAAACTTTTTTCAGTGGTGCTTATATCAATCAACAGGGACTAGAAATCGAACCTGGGCCTACCAGGTGGGAATCCATCGCCCTACTGAACAAGCTATTGCAGGCTTCTAAAATTATTTTTAAATAATGTCTTTGTTATAGATATTATAGATCGATTTGGTTTACATGAAAAATAGAACGACACGTGATAGAATATATATATGAATAAAGAGGAAAATATAGTCTAGTTTTCAAATATATAAACATCTGGTGACAGTCTGTTTGGGTATATCACCGTTGCACAGCTTACTTTATTTTAAAGTCGATTGAACCAATAAAAAAAGTAAAAGTAATTTATCTGTTAGAAATTGCTATTTGAATATCATTTTGCCTTTTATGAAATAGAATAGCCATTATTTGACATTTGATAATTCATTAAATATTACTAAAATATAATAACACAACATAAAAATACAATTTTGTATAAAAATTCTTTTCATATTCAGCTAATATTTTTAATAAAGACAAAAATGGATAATGTTCAGTAAATATTGTGAACGTAATTTTGAACGTGCAATTTTGAAGTAAATGTTCATGTACTGTAACGGGGTAAAACCGTTTAATTATTATATTCGCGCGATTATATTAAAAGGACACGCGTAATTGTCAATGCTCACTACTTATCCGGGAGAGCACGAGAAAGTATGCGTCAGTCAACCAATAATCATTAATAACCTATACTAAAATGAGTGGAAGCTATGTGAGATGAGAGAATCAATGAAAACACTTGTTAGTAATGTGAATTGGATCTTTTATTGTCCCTCAAAATTCACAAAAGGTCGGCCCGCGCGTTTGTTTACATGTACGCTCGCTCGTCGACAACACGCTTTGCCGGTACGCTCGCTGCTCTTTGTTATTAGAGCCGTTACATGCACGCATCGAATGTTAGAACCAAATTATTATTCGTATAATCGCGATCGCGAAATTAAGCTGGCCAGCTTACCTTATAATTGCAGGCGATCGGAGAAAACCACGACAAGTCGCACAGCACGGAACAGTTGTTTATTGTTTTTATTGTTCGCGGGTCGCGAATGCGCGCACACACTGGTTTCGCCCTCGATGGCGAAACCTCACACACCCTCTCTCTCTCTTTCCAGCCTCAAACTCGTAGCTGGGTAGCACCTTGGCGGCTGCAATCCTGGATCACTGGCTGTTGCTTTTTCGATGCGTGTAGACGTCAAGGGCACGTGAATCGTTAGTTGCGGTAGCGTAAGCGGACGGACACTATGATGGTCTAGGCTTCACTGGTTCAAATCTTGTCGCGCGCGTTCCGTCTGCTCGCGTGCCGAATTCCTTCGTTACCTATTCTGTCCCCCCGGCAGGTGCTGCCCTCACAGGCAGCAATTAAGCTAAATAGTCAGCGCTAATTTGACGTTTACCGTCACAGTACATGACATTTAAATGTTATTAAAATAAGGACATAACTTTTTTTAATTATTTCGTTTTCAACTCTTAATATGAATTGTACATAATTATTTTAAGTTTACTTCATACAAGTAAAAGTTAAAACAAATGCTGGACTTTAATCTAGATAATCATTGTTTATTACGTTCTTGATTTGTTGAAACTTTTGATAAAGAAAAATTTATATCAAGGAAACAATAAAAATAATTATTTTAGTACAGCCAATTGAATAATATCAAATCACAAAATCATTTGTTTATCAAACATTTTCATATTTAAAATTATTGTTTTTTTTAGTTCAACGAAATACCACGCTATTACGGAATAGAAAACTTCACCCATATGGGCATCTATATTTGCAGTAACTAGTTCGCTGCAATGTTAGAGTGGATTTCGGCTGCGATGCCGAGGATTGCCGAGTGCCGTCAACTATCGGCGCGCGCCTGAAGGGGCGGTAGAGGAGAGCGTCAGCTGTATCGCGTCTTCTCCTTCCACTTTATTCACGTAAAGTTTCTTTTTTATTTTTAATCTCAACATTTTACACTTATCGAAATCGTATAAAATATTGTGACTGATGTAAAATTTATTGCTATTTCGATTGGTGCATGTTATTCCATCGTAGATTCAACCGTTTGCGAGATACGTATAAGCAAAAATAAGTTTGAAAGGTGATTTTCTTATAGAATCCCTGAACCTAGAGATCTAAAAATTTCAGAATCGACTTTTCCGATCCTGATTTACCATATATCCAAAATGCATCCACTTCTGTGAGAAAGTTTTTTCAGACCTATTTTTATGGGACCGTATTGCTTTAACTGCTGCGACTCAATAGTCATATTATGTAAGAGCGGCGCATTTTAAGAATTATCAATTACAAAAATAATCATCTATCAGCTTAGCCGATTTGTCAAAGCTGAGCGTAGCTTAATAATTGTGATCGACTGTTTGCAATGCCGATCGTGCTTTATTACAATAAAAAAGCTTTGTTACAATAAGCAAAGAAAAGACAAAAGAGAATAAAGCTGATAGATAACGTTGATCGCTTGTGTTTAGCGCCATGCAACGTACTTAACAGATGCCATCCTTACGCTCAGTGCATTTACGACCATATTGACAATCAGTACGCGTGTCAATGCAAAAGCGGCTACGAGACTGATGGTATGGAATGTTCCAAGCTGGGTAAGTTGATGCGCTTGAACTCGTTCAGCTACCGGCCGCAATTAACTGGCCCGTTAGACCGTAAGTAGCGAGCGCACCAATGTCCGTGCACTACAGATTCGCGAACAATTGACATGCAACAGATGTATCCTGCTTAGAAGTGGACGTATGCGATCCTAACGCATCATGCAGGCAGGATGAGCCCGCGGCCAGATGTGTGTGCAACCCCGGATACAAAGGAGACGGAAGAAGCTGTAGTGAAGACGGTTCAGTTTATTTTGCTTTACCTTGGTGTAAATCGAGAGAATGAATGGATGAGTGTTTGATCGTGCTCGAGCGATGCACGAAATTTGGTCACGATAACGAGCATAGTCTTGTAAATTGCAGATGAGTGTCATGACGATGGGGAGTGCGACCAAAATGAGCACTGCGGCTACGCTCCAACAAGGTCCCGTTATGAGTGCGCTTGTCAGCCGGGCTACAGTCCGCTCGATAACCAGTGCGTGCTCACCGACTGCTCGGCCAACCCGTCACAATGTCATATGAACGCCCGCTGCCTGTCCGATGGCCTCGGCGGCTACCATTGCAGTTGCCTACCCGGCTACCGCGGCGATGGCCTGCGCCAGTGCGTCGAGGAGCACGTCGACTGCAATGACGTCAACACTTGCGCCAGGAACGCCGTCTGCGGCTACAACCAGACCTCCGCCAGCTACGCCTGCGTCTGCTTACCAGTTAGTCAGACGCCACTTATCATCGACTGCTCGCGCTCTTACCGCCTAGACCTTTCTCATCACCATTCAATGACGCCGGTGTGTTTCCTTTCAGGGATACCATGGAGACGGCTACAGATGCACTCAGCGCTTGTCCTGCAGGCAGAACCCGACCCTGTGCTCACGAGACGCCTCCTGCTTGCCACTCACCGTCGATAAATTCTCTTGCGTCTGCAAACACGGTTTCGTTGGTGACGGAATAGACTGTCATCCACGGCCCGATCACGAGTCTAATTTTCTACTCGTTAATCAAGGAATGGCCACTCACAAGCTACCGTTTTCACCAAGCTCCGACCAACCAGGAAATCCCATCCATTTGACCAACTTTCGCATGGCCATTGCTGTAGACATTGACTGCTCCAGAGGTATCGTCTACACTAGTGACATTACTGGTAATTTTTTCTCTGCCTATCCTAGTCCTAACCGTCCTCCACGACCTACTCATTTTTATTCTGCATCTCTAGGCAATAAAATAACTAGTATGGCCTATAATGGATCTAAATCAGAACTTTTCCTTGGACAAGTTTCTAGTTCAGAAGGTATAGCCGTTGATTGGGTTTCGAGGGTCATCTTTTGGACCGACTCGGGTAACGCAACAATTGAAGTAGCTCACTTGGATACGAGAAAGAGAAAAGTTCTCATTGCTGATGGCCTTGTCAATCCACGCGGCATCGCAGTACACCCATACAAGGGGTAATGCACACACACCTGATATTACTATAATTCCTTTGTTATACATCGTCTTATTGGCAACCATTAAACCTGTAAAAACATTATTGGAATCTATTTCATCTTCTAGCAAGATCTTTTGGTCTGATTGGAATCGCGCTTCACCTAAGCTAGAGTGGGCTAATGAAGACGGGACTGGACGAAAAATTTATTTGAAGGGAGATAATGTTCAACTGCCTAATTCTTTAGCTATAGATTGGCAGTCTGATGAACTTTGCTGGGCAGATGCTGGCACTTTTTCGATAAGTTTGTACTTCAATATGCTTTTATTTCATGTTGTTTCCATTTATCTGTTCTATCTCTTGACTACTAAAATTATGGTTTCGATATTTCTTTTCAGATTGTGCTAATATTGATAACAAATCTGTGCGAGTGATTGCAAAAAATTTAACACATCCATTTGGTTTAGCCATTTCACGTAACCACTACTACTGGACTGATTGGAAAACGTAAGTAATTAATTTTGAAAGACACCTTTTTCTCATTTTTAGTGTATAATTTAATAATTGGTCTACATAAAATAGCTAGGGCAGACAATTACTCGCGACTATCAGGGTTTAACAAATTTTCTTCAAATAATATATTTTTATCTAGTGACTATGTGTACATAAAGAGAGTCATTCCCTAATTGGAATCCATCGTATCACATTGAGCTATATTCATACGTTGAATGTAAGTTCATTCCAGTGTTCCATAAAAATAGCTTTAGAAGATTCCAGGGATGTGAGAAATCGTTGAGAGACACGACAGATACGATTAAATACATAATTTTTTTATTAAAGGCAATTACACAAGGTTGTACAAGGCGAGCGACCGGGAACACTTGTTTTAGTGTGCAAGCGCGGCTCGCATGTTCCTCGAAAGTGACGAGACCGTGTCGGAAACGACGTCGCGAGGCTCAAGCGTTTGCTTCCTTTTTTGCTGTCACTGGTGCTGCTGGCTGGCGGCCGAGGAGGGAGAAGGTTGAGTCCCTACATAGCTATCTCTGTATTCAAATAAAATCAAAGTTTCATTTTTGATTTTTATCCAAAAACGTAGTTTTCATTAATCTGTTATAAATATAAAGTAAGTTCAAAACTTTTCATGTTTCACCAAACTCTTCAGAAAATTTACCATAACAAAAAAAATGTCTGGTCAGGATAAACGTTAATTATCATCAAACTTTATAAAACTTAAAAAAAAAATTATTTTTTAATAAATTTAATGTAATCTCTTAACTAGCTAGCGAAGTAATATAATAACATAGATGTTATTATTATAAAATTAAAATAGTCTAATAAAACAAATATTTTAAATTAATTTAAAAGCAATTTCATATACTGAAGTAAAAAAAATTTAATTCAATTACAATTGTGATAACAATAAACAAAAAAAAAATTTGTCAGTAGGTGGCATACAATGATTAAAAAAACTAAGAATTTTGTTCATAATTTTTAATGTACTATATAATCACATTGAACCCTTGAAAAAAAGATTTAGTAATTGAATAGAACTATTATTATTTTTCATTATTATTACATGGTATAATAATTATTAGCTTTTTCTCTGGAAATTACTTTTCAAGTTCTACCTATTTTAGTTTTAATTATTAAAGTAAAATACGATACAAATATGCAAAGTAGACTATTCCTGCACGTGCGCAGTCGCCTACTATTCGCATACGTATCATATATTATTTTTCAATACTCCGTGCGCAAAGTGCGTCTTTCCAGTACGCTCGGCAAAAAACGTGCGTTGAAAATTGTTCTTTCTACACGTCGTATCAAAAAATACGGTACGGCACATGTTCGGGAAAGAGTTTCTCATCTCGTGTACCTTTGCATTCTCGCTACGCTCGGGCGTAAACGGCACACGAGACAAGAATCTACTTTCCCGCACTTGTATCGGAATGTACTATCCTCGTACGAGGTATGAAATATTCAATCTAGTTTAAGGTGATTCATCATTAAACTGAAACATGGGATTTTGCCAAATTTTCAGCGTCTATTAACGTGCAAAATTTTTATAACAAGCCCTATAACACGCTTGTTCCGCAAATGAAAAAATTGGAGATCTCAATGAAACTTTGAGAGATTATTCCTTAAGTTATGATAAATGCTCTGTAAAAATTTCAGCTCATCTTAACGATGAAAATTTCGGGAACGAGTCGTTTAAACATCGACAACTTCAACATGTCCTCTTACGGGAGAGTCACCGGTGAAGAAGTTATTTATTTTTTATCTACTTCAAAAAGTTGGAGATTGATCTAAAAGATTTGTGACAGGGCCCTGGCTAGAGTGGCCGGCCCTGTCTGGCTCTTCTTTCTCTCTCTCTCGCGCGGCTCGCTCCTTCGCTGTTGCCCTGGCGAGCGTGGTGGAAATTACGAACCGATACCGATGCTCGTACCGCTTTATTTCAAGGCCAATACCTGAGCCGGGCATCGTCATTGGGAGCTAATTAGGAGTGAGAGCGGCTGCGGCAAAAAGAAGAGAGAGAGATTGACGCGTGGCACGTAACGAGTAAGCGAGCGCGAGCAACCCGCGGCGATCCGCTCGCGAGAGCGAAGCCGCCGGCGTTGCTTTAGCCGACGCGTGAAAGAAGCGATACGACGCCTAGCAGATTACAGCCAGGAGAGAATTCCCAGCGACGCCGAAGGCATCGTAGACATCACCTGGATCTGCCGCTAACCTTCCTGCACCAACCATATTCGGTGGGTGGTAAGGAGGTGAGTCCCTCTCTCAGCCTCTCGATTTCGGGAGGAGTGGAGCAGGCAATGGTGCGTTAATTGGCTTGTTTGCCTCTTCCGGTTTTTCCTCGCTGGGTTTTCGGGCCCTGATTAGAGTGGGGACGTGGACGCAGGGGTACAAGTCTTGGCTCCTCAAGTACCGTTCGTAGCCAAGATTTGTTCAAAAATTTTGTAATTGTTAAATAATCGAATTCGGAACAAATCTAATCGACCGTACAGAACTTATATACTACTGAATACTAAGAACAATATTACAATTAAATTCGCCGCAAACTACAGTTATTATTAATTATGTAGTAATAAAATATAATAAAAATATTGTGATGCTTGTTATCTCGCACGCTATGTTGTACAAATTTATGGACTGTATATTATCATTTCAAGAATTTAAATTACTTGGTAACTACATAGTTTTATTTATTCCAAAATTGTAATCGGGGAACAAAAATTCTTATATAACTTAACAGGCTGCTTACTAGCTGATTTATCCTCATTTCTTATAATGAAAGTTCACCAAGTAATAGAGAATTTATTAAAATTAACGTATATTTTTTTCATTTTCTTCTATTTTCTGCTTAAACTAAGCTCCGGAGCAAAAACTCGATAAGAGGTTTTGAGAGGCCAAAATTATTTGCGACATATTGCTGAAGTTAAAATATTTAAATTAAAAAAAAATTATATTATCATTTCTAATGCTTAATTTCTAGCTTGAAAGAGAAAAATTCGTTAGTCCTGATGAGAACAGGATGCAGACGCGGTTTTATGGTCCTCTCCTCTTATCGGCATCTCGGCGCCATCCGATCACGCCTTTGGAGGCTGCATGCATTTTGTATGCAAGAGCGAGGGTACGAGGAGCGTAAGAACGCAATAAAAAAAGAAACGCACGCTTACATGAATTTGAAGTACAGATTTTATTGTCGTTTGGAGACTGTCAAGGAAAATTTTCCTGCGATACTCGATTCGGTTCCCACCACTTATGGGCAACGGTTTTAACTCCGTCCTCGGTTTTAACACTAAGAAAAAAGAATTATTCCCTTTTTTTGGAATCATACGTCCCGCCGTCACAACACATTCTATAATTCAAGTGGCAGATAAACAATCATAAAATACGATAAATAAAATGATTGCTTATAAAGTACATCAATCCTCAATTATTCTATATAATTATTTATAAAATCAATTAATTTTTAATAATTCAATAACTCAAATCTGAGAATACATCATGAATATTTTTTTATTTTTTTATTTATTTATTTCTAGAGTATTATATATAGTCAATATAATGATTGTTGATAAAATAGATTAAATCCTAGTATGTAAAAATAAAAAATCAATCACAAATTATGATTTAATATAATAGATCAAGATTTTACATATACTAGTGATATTATACGCTCTTTGCGTGCTCTTTATTTTATTTTTTTATTTCTAGTTATATTGACTAACATAGTTAATACCAGTAACTTTTCTAAAGGTGGATATTTCAATTTTTTTACAAAATACATATTATACCGAAAAAATATGTAATAGTAAAATAGTTTTACGTTTCTAAATACATGATTTATCATCTCCAAAACTGTAAAAAATAATAATTTTTTAGTTCTTTTCAACTATACGGGTTAAATTATCCTTAAATGTTTATTTTACTCTTTTAATAAATATTGCGGCATTAGATTTATTTCAATCTTATATATTCACAAACCAGATCATCTATTAGTAATAGAAAATAATAGAAAATAATTAGAAAAAATTCAAACTATAACCTCTTGTATTTGCGAAACAATATAATCGCTGATTGTAGTTTCGTAAACTGAGTGTTAAACAATAACACTGCAATGTATTTTTTTTGATTTTATTGCTTTCAAAATGAACAGTATCAATTATTATGGCAAATTGAATTTTTATTACTAAAATCTCAACTTAAAAGCTTACATACATATTTATTTGCGTGACGTTTCGCATTATGTATTATGAGTTTTTTGCACACAACAATACATCACGTGAACATATCTCAGCCATTCAGATCACGAATAAAATGCGTCAATATGGCATCCATTATTTTTCTATAAGGGGACACTATTGGTTTTGCCATTTGATAAATGTGGCACTGGTTAGGCTCCGTACAACATAATACAATTTCATTTGCCAAATATTTTGGACAGGGACCTAATAAATCTAGTATTCATTGGTTCTTTCAGTATGTTAGCGTTGAAATGTACAATATATGTAGCCAAAAAACAACATATCATTCTTACATGTTTGTTTCTGCCTTCTTTTCTAGCGTTATTTTTTTTCAAGTTGGATTGCCTCGCTACAAGATTCTGTATAAGATTCTTCTATTGCTATACCCACTTACCTCTCATACTTTTTAAAGTTTTTGGTGATATATTAGGAACGTCAACACTAGATAATATGATATTAATATGCGATGAACGAACACCTGCATCAAGCATTCCTAAAAGTTACAATACTTGTTAACATTTATTATTATCAAATAAATATAACTATAAATAGTATAACAAACTAAATGCTAGTTTCGCATTTGCTTCGTATGTTATATCAGCAGAATTATATTTGAATGCGTTAAGGAGGCTCTAGCGACATGGCAGTTCTCAACCGACTCTCAACTTTGTTTTCGCGCATTAAAAAAATACTCCTAGGATTCAACTCGCTGTTATTTCAGCAATTATAAACCAATCAATGTAAAAAAGATCAGAGATGTTC